CTACTGCAGGGAGGGATGGCTCTCTCAGTCCGACTGCAGTCCATGTGCAACTGATCTGCAAGAGGACGGGTATTTTTAGCTATGACAGCATGGTCTCCCTCCAAAATATTCTTGGCCTCTTTGATTAGCCTGGCAACAAATTGGATGTGCAGGAAAAGAATGGTTTTAGAAAAAATGCAATGGCTCTTTTTCAAATACTTCCTGTCAGCAATACAATCCATAAACTGTTCGCTTATAGAAAAATAAAACCAAACTTATGGCCCTATGCTTAGGCTCTAAGGCAGCAGGTGATAAGAACTGTCTGTGCTCTGATGCCTACGTGCATCTTCCAGCTAAAGAGCCCAGAATCACAAGATCAGAAACCCACCCTTCCCTTTACCCCTTCTCTTTTTACTCATTCCTCCAAACCTCCTTCATTCCTTCGCTTTCCTCAATCGCTTCCTTTCAGCGCTGCAATCAGATAGAGGAAGCTGCAAGGGGGAGACAGCTGAAAACCTATTCAGCTGTTGGACTGGGAACTGTGCCTTCAGACGGTGTCGCCAGGACATAGTCTGGGGCAAGACTGTCTGAGTCAGTGGCAAAACACGCACCGGGAAACCTCACAGTGAAATGATACTTCAGAAACAACATCACAATGGGCTTTATACACATGGAGTTTCATAAGTGCCTCATGTTTCTGGTCATGACTGTAACAAGCTTTAACAATAGCCCCAGAACAATGTTAAGGAGGTGCGGTTAAGTTAGTTTCATGAGGCTGACATACAGTATAGAGCCAGTGTTCTGCATAACATGAGGACAAAAAGGCAAAGTACCTCCACTTAAATTGCCCACAACCACAATTATTATTAATTACTTTAATAGCTTGTGGTTAATAGTGTTGCTTAAATATTGCCAGAGCGTCTCCAAGGCAAATGCAATCACATTTAGACAGAGAGGCATTTGTCATTTTCTTTTGTTTACCAACAGCTCTTGTCAGACAGTCAATGCAAGGATAGCGTAACTATGTATGTGCCTCATGTTTGCACAGTGGTTACTGACCACGTATATGAAGCATACCGAGAATGGCAATGGTCGATGAAAATTCAGCAGATCTATTGCTGTTATTCTATCGCTGGAGACTCAGCTGCTATGAATTGGTTACTCTAGCAGTTCGAACTGTCTGTAATGTCCACATTGTGCCAGGTTTTTGCCAATCAATCCACTGCATTTTTCAAAAGTCTGACCTCCACTATCTCTACGTTGCAGTCTACCAACATCACAGCATAAACTCTTACTGTCAACTCTTTAACAGGCAACATTTGAGAATTCTCAGAGGTCTTATTGGCTTATAGCCTCATTGAAAACAAACATATAAGCACTGTTGGATTTAACAAGGCCATGAGGCACAGTAACCCACCTCACCCATAAAGCGGAAATGCCTCAGCTAAACCACTGGAAAAAGAGGGGTGGGGGTGGAGGGGAGATTTTTCCAATCCTCCAGGGATGTCATTAATAGCCATTTCATTTAGTTCGATTCATTAAAAAAAATGCCATTTCCTGATGTAAGGAACATTCATAATGGTGCAGACCACATAAAGTGCCAGGGGGTTGTTACAACTGTGCTTTAAGACTGAGTTTGTTGCTTTAACCAAAACAAATGTAGGTGCTCAATACAGTAGCACGGGGCCCCCTCACGCACCCAACCATGCACAGTTGCAGTTTGAAGCAAATTATTATAAACATGTTAAACCCCTTCACAGAAGCCACTAACCACAGACACAACTTTCATGAACAAAGTTGAGACAAGAACCCCTGCAGAAGCAGACAACTTGGGTGAAGTTAACAAGTGATCAGCACAAACTTTAAGGAAAATGTTCTGGAGGCATGACAGGGTGAAAGTGAATTTTTGTTTCACTACACTAGGATCTTCTCTCTTAAGGTTTGGTACTGAAGGTCATCCACATGCTGCACGTTAAAGTCAGTATAGAATTCTAACTGTACAGATGTTAATGCTGGTTCAGGGTGAAGCGTGTATCAGAGGTACAGAGCCATGGCTGGCCCACTTCTGCACTGGCCAACGGGCACATCTCTGCTCATCAAATAGACTAGATCACTGGGATAACTATGCTATTAATATTGGGAATGAGAAGAAAGTCGGCCACGCAACATTCCACATGCCCCAACATTCCCACATATTAACATGGCTCAGAATGAAATCCAATACTCAGCATCCCTTTCCGTCGATCCCCAAAGCGCTGTCCCGCGTGTCAAATCGCTTTCTTATTTCATCTGGGAGGAACGCGTCAGAGTCACGAGCTTCCAGTCTAACTAAAGACATGTTATTATATGTGAGAAAAAAAAACTGGCCCGAGTACAATCTTAGAGCTGGTTACTAAGACTTTCAAGAGGAAAAGGATGCTGAACTTCTCAGAAACTTCAAGTCTTTCAAACACCCCAGAGTCTTGTCTGTTTGAGGAAATGAGCAGCTTCCATCAGTACGGTGCACTCAACCAAATTACACAGATGCTTAGGAAGATCCAGCTCTTCTGGGTGCTACAAGGGGCTACTTTTGAACTTGAATGAAAATAAAAACAGCGATTCACAACTGTTCACTAATTAGTTTCCATACACGCTTATTCTAATGACAGCTCTCTGCTTAGCTCAGCAGTTTAAGTTGATGTGCATTTGTCACCTTGCCATTGTCTAACTTCTCATTCTTTGCACTACAATCTGAATAGCTATCAATCTCGCCGGGGTGAGAGGTCAACAGCTGCAACATAGAGGACGCAGGGCTTCTGGGTAATGTCTGGAATGCTCCCTGTGACAGTTATAGCGAGGCAGATAGGGGCAGCCCTCTGAAGTGACCAGCATTTTTTAAAATAGCCTGCAGTAATGCTGCACTGAATTGAAGCACTGTAAAGAGGAGATATGCTTACACATCATAGACCCCAGAAAGTGTGTCACTGGCACAAATACAATAGTGCCATTTGACACACACACAGTCGGTGTGGGGACTTCCAGAGAATGAGAGAGAGGAACAGCAGCCTTTTTTCCTAAATTCTCCTGTAGTTTTGTCCTCAGACACTGTTACTACTCTACTGGAAACACAACATGAAGATGATCTCATCCAAAAGATCAGATGTTTGAATTTAAGCAGCTTTACAGACCTCATCTCTTTTTCTGTCTGTCCTTATCCTAATGAGCAGGCTATCGAGCTGCCAGTCGACAGCAAGGCTGAAGCGATAAAAGGCCGGCCGTCACTTACTAACTCTCCCTCACACTCCCTCTAATCCTGAGAGAGCAGTTCATGCATCCGTAATGGTCGATAAAATATGAAAAGCCCTGAGAGCGCTGACGGCAGCAGAGGGTGGGCCTGTACACTATGTGTAAGTCCTCAACTTTCGTTAATGCCCTCCCAACATGCTGAATCTTTTAGCAATGTCACTCTGCTTGCCCCCTGGCGCACGTGAATGTAGGAGGATTTCCAGCAGACTGGAGGGTAAGCCTTTAATGTGGTGGAAATGGATACTATCTTGTTCACAATGCAAAAAGACATCAAAGAAAACACACATGGTCCTTTGACTGTATAAATGAGTTTTGCCCCTGGTTCATCAACCTTCAAACGCAAGCCACTCAAAAGAAAGAATTACTTGAATGTTGCAGGAATAATGTTTGCCCTATGCTTTTTCATTTTGCCATTATCTCCCACATGAGCTATTTAAAAAGCCCAGCCTCTAGTAAAATGTTCACAATTGCTGAGTTATCTGTTTTCCATCAGTAAACCATGTGGCTAGGTAAACCCTAAGTAGGCACCACCAATCAATTTTCCTGGAAATTTGGAGGGCTGGTGCGTGAACTTCATCACTGTGCTTTCGACACGCGAAGGATTTACAGCTAAGATGACAGCCTTTTAACCAGGACAGGCAATGCTTCCACAGGGAAAAGAAGGCTTTACAATTTCTTCAAATGAGGAAGCTGGGAGATTAAGATGGGGTGTTTATATTGGTTTGAGGTGCCATGGAGTTTTGGCTTCTCTTGAGGGGAAAGTGAAAGGATAACATGAAAAAAAGCTGATACAAACACATTGCAGGCCTAGTTCCATACTGGGTGAAGTTGTTGCTGGGAGGAGATATATGGAATGTCTGGATGCCAGGCTCGTACTTGCACCAAAGGCCTGACTGTGTGATTGATGAACGTGTGTGATCAGCCCTCGTCTGGGACCAGAAATAGGCCTGTACCCATTACATATGACACTGTCTCATCCTAGTTCAATTTTTGAAATGCCAAACATATTCCTGAACTTTGTGTTAAGTCCTGGACCTCACATGACAACTTCTTTGGTTTAAACCAAATGTGGACATCAATCTCTTCTAGCTCACTCCTCCAGCAGCAATAATACTGAACCCCAAATCATCCATGAAATCATGCAGTGTTTTCCAGAGAAAATTAAACTCCCACAACTCAAAACTCAAGGAAGCTCAGCTAAAACTGAATCCAAGACCATCACTAATATGCCAAAAGCCTTGCTTATACAATGCACCAGTGCACATGGGGGTACAGCAAGACGTGCTGTCAGCACCACTGGAGAAAGAGGCCAAACATGAAGACCACGTACATTTCACAACCCCGCTTCTGCTGCTGTTTATGACCTATAAAGCCACTGTAGTGAAAAAAGTACTGCAAAATACTGCCCTGCCCTCCAATCACAACAAAACAAAATGTGGAAACTTTATCACGAGGGAACAGGAGCCCTTGTTGCCCACCAGCTCCTTTTTTGCTTAGCGTTCAACTGAGCATTCTGGCTTAATGTTTATTTTATTGGTTGCAGTCGTCTGTGTTTTCCTGGCTGGACTGAGAAGCAGGATGCAGTGCATAGACAAAGTGGGTTTACACTTAAACATCTGCAGCCCGTTGTGTGTGAAGTCTCCTACCAGAGCAGCAGCACTACGGTGTAGCTGTTACTCACAACAGCCGGGAAGGGTTACAAGTATCAGTATCAAGATCAAGTATCTCTAACTTACCCACTTCAGACAGGCTGCACTAAGAGATGAATTGTCCCCGTGTCGCGTCCCTAGCAATGGAAAAAAAAAAGAGAGCTTCTCCTCCAAGCAAGACTAGAAGAGATATTTAAAGTATTCCTGCATTCTCTGGTTTCAGAAACCTCTTTTTGCCGTTCAGAATGTGAACTTCATGGCCAAATTCCATGCCTTTGCTGAGTTTGACCGAAGCTGCTGCGTTTTGTCTGCTTCCCCTCTCTGAGCTTCTGAGCTGAGCTCTGGATTTCAGCTGACTGTGCTGGGAGCTGAGCTGTTGACATTGTCCCCACTCTCTCGCTCTCTCTCTCTCTCTCTCTCTCTCTCTCACTCCCCCTCTCCCTCCCCTCCTCCCTCTCCTGCTCTCTTTCCCTCTCTGTCTTTAGATCACTCATCTCCCCTCCCCTGCCCTTCTAAATTCCAGCTCAGGCATATGACAGCATCCATGTGGATGTCAGCTAGAAGGTGATGGATTTTCTGTGAATATAAATGCATGTACATACAGTGTGCATGTGCATGTGTGTGTGAAAGCTGTGTGAGGCCAAGGGAAAGGGCAAGATGAAAGGAAATGACCCTTGGTGGCCGGTTCTTCCCACCCCTATCCGCAATCCTAACTCCACCCAATGCATTCCCTCACTCAGCAGACAAAAAAAAAAAAAAAGGTTGTGGATGGAGGGATATCACACACAACGCCCAAAGGAAACCTCTTTTCCTGTTGCGTTGTCTCATTGCTAACACAAGCATCGAGCCCACACAGGCACACACAAACCCATGCCAAATATCTATGACAAATCACCCCTGTGACACACAGGAAAAGGATTTTCCTGAGATCCAATCAGTGTTCATTGAGAAGAAGGTGAGACGGGGTGCTTGATTATACAAAGCTCTGTTGGCTTGTCAAGTTCACACCATTAGCTCAGCCAAATGTAATGTGTGTGTGTGTGTGTGTGTGTGTGTGTGTGTGTGTGAGGATTTGGAGGGGGGTGGGTCAGCTGGAGGGCCACGCCACAGATGATTCTGTGAAGTAGAGTCCAAGTATGTTGCTGTGATAATATGAGGGGTCAGTGAGTGCAGACATCAGATAATCAGGACTCCCGCTGCACCAGTCAGGAGACGGACACTATCCCAGTCACCATTCCTTACTTCCTTACCCACTCCCACCCCCTGCCAGGAACAAGACAGAAGGCATATGAATTCAAAAACTATTTACCTTTCATCAGTCAATGTGTTTGGGAAAACGTGTCCATGTTAACCTTTAGAACATTGATCACTGACAGCCTCTTAATCAAAACTATCTCATAGATACTACTGCCCCATGCTTTGAAGACAAGGGTCACATGTGAATTGATTTCATATTTAGTCATCTTATCTTTCTCTTGACTTCTTATCTGCTACGCAGGCTGTCTTGTCTTGTCTATATTATTGACTTCAGCCTTGTATATATAACAGGAATATGCCATAGATGGATGGAGCTGCCAGTCAAATTTTGAAGGGCAAAATTAAAATGTCTTGGGGATCAGAAGACAGTCACTGCTGTGGTTTTTCCTTCCTTCATTTGATTGCCAGATTCAGACACTATCATACCATTCAACAAGTGTCATCATCAAACACCATTCCCATACATATTGACCTGCAAGGACCTACTCTGCCTTCATTGAGGGGGGTCTATTAGCACTTCATTTTAAAGCAAAGGAGCTGCAATTTTTCCATTTTTAAAGTCAGAATACTTTTATCCAGAAGACTTCAGTCCTGTCTCAGATCATTTTTACAAGTACTATTTTTTTTTTTGACTTAAGTCTTATTGTGACTTTCACTGACTCCTTGTCTTCATTCAGTGTTTGGTTAAGTTTCAGTACTTACTGCATTTACCACATATTACAAAGTTCCATTTTCTATGGTTCCAAGTTAACGACTCCATTGGTGAGTTTACATCCACACGACCACAAGAGGTCACAGACATGTTTGGGTTACTTTGTGTTTATCAGTGATCAGAATGGAGGATAATGTGCCTACTGGGCCTACTAGAAGGTGAAGGAGGCTCCTCCTGGCTCATATGTACAGGAATGATGTGCAACGATAACAGCTTTTTAATGGACTCTTAATTTCCAGATATAGCGGTTTAACTGCTTGGCCTGGAGCCATACTGCCTGTATGAAACTACACTGTAAATATGTTTTAGGCAATCAGATTAAAAAATAATAATTTCCAATTTACACTTGCCATCCACACAACAGCTCTGTAAAAATATTACTGCACTTCCATAAAAGCGAAAAATCTGCATCACAAAGCAGGACCCAAAAACCACCATGCATTCTTGGTAAAAATTAGCATTTACACTCTCACAAGAATAAACTGGAGCCACTGCTATGCCACAGAGCAGAGAAAGGGGGGGTCTTTATACCATTTGTCATCTTTCTCTAGGGACAGAAGACAGATGACACCAAGTTACTGGCGGTAATGCCTGGGTGCATTCCTTAGCGAGCCCTGGGGACGCATCCATTAAGCCAACTCTGAGACAGAGCAGCTTATCTACATGATGTCCACTTCCCCTGTTGCTTTTTTCTTACACTGCAGCATCACTATAAGGTTTGCATCACATCTACGCTCTCTCGGGTAACTTCTCCATCCCCAAAGCATGAGAAGAAACCCTGAAGAATCCCTGAGGAACAGGCCGAGCTCAAGCTCCAGTCTAGCACAGTTGCATTTCAGCGACTCCTGTACCATCCATCACAGCCTGGTAATTGACACAAATGGAGTGGGCTTGGCATGCTGTGATAAACATCATGCCCCCCTAAAAAAAGACTGAAAAAGAATCTAACAAAACCATGAGTCCATCTGTTCTCCTTTTTTCTTTTTTTGAGGGTGTGTTTGTTTTCACTCGACTTAGACAGCATACATTTTGCAGAAAGTAAGAAAATAAGAGGTTAGACACTCCGTATTGTCACTTATTGTGCCGAAGAGATGACCGCAGATCGTGGCTTCTACAGACTTGGCTTCAGTAAACTTGCTTTGCCCCCTGGGTAATTCCTTTAAACGCAAGTGAGGTTGGTGTTTACCCACAGTGAATGGCAAATGTCATGACTGATAAACTAGCTGCAGTGTATGTCAAGTGAGAGGTCGGGTGTTTTCCTCTCCAGAGATCTTTGTGCCTCGAAACGACATGTAGCTCCAGACAACCTGCCAGTCACTTGTCAATCGGTTGGGTAAGGCTTGCTGAGCTGCTGTCTAAACCCTCCTGCATCCACTAAGGAAGTGGATGAAGGACTCCACTCAGCACTCCATGCAGAGATATTTCATAAACAAAAATCACCACCATCATGCAGCAACAATCACCATCTGGCTAACAAGTGCTAAATTTAGTCAGAGGGAGCAGTAAAATGGGAACTTGGCACTTGGTGGTATGTTGGACAAAAGGTAAATGGAATATTGGACAAAGAGAAGTGGGTCACCCAAGGTGGTCTACTGTAGGCTCATAAACCACACTTTCTCCTTCAGACCTCTCATGTGCAGGAGCAGTCAAAGCTGATAACAGGCAACGTAACAGCTGGAGGAGAGACCGTAAAGGAGTGTTTAAAAGTGCAGATATTGGCATGTGAAGGAGTCTTTCCAGAGTTGTCACAGAAGAGAAGTGGCGAGAGTCCTCCTCCAAGCCAGCAGCTGCCAGAGCTAACATGGCAAACGGTCATGTTTTACGACGTGTTGTTCCTTAATGTATTATTTAAGGTTTCTTTTGACCAGGCAGCTCTCATTTAAGTTTGTTTTGTTTAAGTGAGGAATTCCTTGTGACAGCACTTTGCACACAACCATTTCTTTCACGCCCGCACAGAGATAAATTGCCACTGAGAAAAATACCGCCGCTGCACAAAGCTTGAACTCTTGACAGCATAAATATGAGGCCACATTTTTATACATGGTCTAATTGTATGTTAGCTGTAAATCATGATAGCATGGAACACTATACTATCCATCTTTCAAAAGCTTCCGCATGAAAGTAGCCTGATCACAGTAAAGCAGTAAACCATAAATCTAATTGTAGTCACTATGCTCTTATGGCGACATTCTTTCCTGCTCTTAACACACCTCTTGTATAAACTCTTACTTTCTACCTCTACAATAAACAAGCACCTTAACTCTTTCCTCTTTTTCATCACAAAAGCGACAATCCACGTGCTTTTACCAACCTCAGCTTAGAGTAAACAGGTTTTTCAATAGGATTACCAAGCATTTGCACTGAGTGCTTTTTCTGTGTTTTGCAAAAAGTACTGGGCATCTGAATGGTTCTTTTGTGCGAGAGGCAGACTGGGCAGGGTCAGAGGTCACCCAGCAGCCTGCTCCCACAGTACCTCTAGTGTCTGCCTGGATATGTGCCAGCTAAATGCTGTCATGTTTGGACAATGGTCCAGCTTTCCGCTGACTGACTCATGACAGCTTCATCATGTTAACCAGTGATGTAATCCCTTGATCTCTGTTTGTGAAGGCCATCACTATCAGACTGCAACTATTTTTATAATAACTTAATCTCATAGTTCAATCATTTTAAAGTATTGTGATGCACAATTTTGCTATATCTGCTTCAGATTTTAGAAATATGAGATTCACAGTACAAAGTCATCCTTATGAAAGCCATCTTATGTTACAATGCCTCACTTCTCATAGCTCTGTTTTGGCCACAGTGAATCCAGGTGTGTGAACTGTAAAAGGGAGAATTAAGATGGACAGAGAATACTAATGGCAAAAAAAGACTGATGGTAAAACTGAAAAGAAAGCACTTGCTCTTTTTCCAGATGCTTCCATTCAAAAGCAAGGTTTATATATTCCAGTTGCTTTTATATTGGCAGCATGGGGACTTTCTCCACCAAGCTCAAACTTCAGCTGCCTGACTGACATTACAATTTATCACAGTTTCTTATCCTGCCATTTAAAAAAAAAAAAAAAAGTACCAATATTCTTTGAACAGACTTTTCAGAATGTGCTCGTTTTTTGCTGACCACAGACTGAACCAAAGACTCCACCTGAGCTATTCCAGGTGCAATAATGTCCCTTCTTAGAATCCATTCAAAACAGCATAAATCAAGACTTTAACCTCTCTCAAAAGCATTGCACAGGTCCTTGTATGGTGGAGAATGTGTGAGAACTGTGGATAAAATGTTCAGTCCAGTTCTAAACAGTGGAGTCGCAGGGGGTGCCCCCACTCTATATGAAACCACACACACGGTCATGACTGTCACAGTATCTCCATGAAAACATCTGGGAGTCA